TCTAAGGCACCAAGTTCCACCCTAGAAAGAATAATAGGTCACCACGGTAACTGTAGGTAGCCCGTTAGGGTTGAGCAGTGAAGATAGTGTCATCAGAACCTCCACTTCCCTCTCTCCTCCGATACCATACCGTCGAGACAGAGCTCCGGTACGGTGATCGTTGAGCTTTGCAGATCCGGATAGGGAAGCGTGACAGGTGCCCAGACCTAGTGGTGATAGCTAAGGGGTTTTCTGAACATGACTCCTGAGCCGTAGAAACTCGTCCCTGAGCGGGGGACGTGGAGCCACTTAGGGTAACTCAGTAGCTGACCGGCACATAGGGGGTCGCACCCCGCTTTGTGGATGTATGGTCCCGTGTGAGGGTCGTCAGTTAACCTCCACGGATGATGTTCAGAGAGAGAGTCACGTATTCGGATCCAGCCATACGATCCCCTCAGATTTGCTTATGAGGTCGCGCCTCACCTCAGGACGCTGATCATTTCACTGCATAAGATGGGCAAGCCTCTTATGATGCATAAAAGAGTTGTAGCTTAGATCACCCTGCATAGAAACCCGAGAAAGACGGTGGTTACCTACCAAGATAAGGATGCGAAAAGAGCCTACAAGTAGGCTACTTACTGAGTATTCTTTTATACTCATTCCTTTCTACTCTTTTTTTTTCAGGCGAGTGAGGCCAGGGATCGAGGCGGGAATGCATGCTGAATCTTAATGCCACAGAGGAGTGTCCCGGGGCGTCTAGGAGTCTGTGCATAATTTTGTTTAGATTTGTCATGCATTGTTTTGTAAACCGCTTACTTACTATTCATATTTGAACACCTTGTTTTGGATTTTAAACCTCCTTCATAATTGTTAAAGTTTCTTTTTGTGAAATCTCGTTTCTCTATTGGTTCTTACACGATTTCATTGCATAGTCTGTTGGTCCGGCTCTTAATTTCGAGATTCAAATTTTGGGCTGTGACAGTTTGGTATCAGAGCCTGGTTTTAAGGTCCTGTAGACATTAGGTTGTAGAGTCTTGTATCTCTGTGGCTTAAGTTTCGACACGCTCCGCCGCGACCTGGTAAGTTCTCTGATAACTGAGAAATAGGAAGACTTGAGTTATATGCTATTGGATCTAAGACGAGGATTAAAATATTAAGGATGTGCTTCTTTGAATTAGGCACAATGAGAACGCATTTTTGACTCACTCCCCTCTGTTGTCAGATAATGGCGCCTAAGAGAGGAGGAGATTACCTTGGGCCTGGTCCTAGGAGGGGCAGGAGAAGGGTCGAAGAAGACCCAAATCTTCATTTCCTCGAGATGGAGCAACACCCACCTCTAGAGGAGAACCCAGAACTGACCTCGGATGAGGAACAAACGCCGCCACCGGCGCCCGTGCCGAGGCGAGCTAGAAGGAAGGCCGAGCCTCGAGTTATTCTTGAGACTGCTCCTCAGGATCAGGAACCTGAAGAAGCTCCACCAGCGCCAGCACCGATTCCTGTGGTGCCTGCTCAGTCGACGACGACAGTTTCAAGGGATGAGTTTCAGGCTTTCATGAGAGCCACCATGGAGACTCAGGCACAGATGGCTCAGATAATGCAAACTCTAGCGACAAACCAGACCACTGTGCAGGGGACGAGTGATCCGGGCACGACTATAGAGTCCCGTTATTTGAAGGACTTTCAGAGGTATAAACCGCCAACTTCGACGGGGGTAAGATGGACCCAGTTGCAGCTGAGGTTTGGCTGGAGGCTGTAGAGACAGCTTTTATATACATGAATTGTCCTCCTGAATATCAAGTCCATTGTGGGACTTACATGCTGAAGGGCGAAGCCCATTTTTGGTGGAAAGGTGCACAGAGGGCCATTACACCAGAGGAAGGGTATATTTCTTGGAACCAGTTCAAGGAAGCTTATCTATGTAAATATTACCCAGTGGTTGCCCGACACAAGTGTCAGACAGCATTCCTAGAATTGAAACAGGGGGACAAAACTGTTGAGGATTATGATCTGGAGTTTAATAAACTGGCAAGGTTCTGCCCTGAGTATGTCAGTAACGAGAAGATGAAAATTGATCGTTTTATCGCTGGTCTCCGGATAGAGCTTCAGGGTCCAGTTTTGGTACAAACAACTTCAGATTATGCTGTAGCCTTGAGAGTGGCAACAGTGATGGATATGCCACGGCAGGTGGCAAAGCAAAATGTGCCAGTGGTGACCACTCAGAATGCCTTTGGCCAACGAAGAAGGCCTAACAGAAACTCTTTTAGATCTGACAGACAGCCGCGAGGACGTTTTGAACGTCGGGGTAGAGCCCCAGAGTATAACAGACCTGAATGCCCTAATTGTAAGAAATATCACGAGGGAGAGTGTTTTGCTGGAACAGGAGGATGCTTTGGTTGTGGCAAGCCAGGCCATCGCATAGCTGACTGCCCTCATAAGAGAAATCATGAGGGAAACAGACCTGTTGGACAGTATCAGAGGGGTCGTGGAGCCACACAGCAAGCTCGAGCTGTGGTCCACGCTATCACGACTAGGAAAGCAGAAGAGACTGACGCAGTGGTGACAGGTACACTACCTATCCTTGATCACCTAGCATTTACGTTATTTGATTCAGGTACTACCCACTCATTTATTTCTGAGGGGTTTGTGAAATCTGCAAACCTAGAACTAGAATCCCTAGAGATTCCTCTTACTGTGTCTACACCAGCAAATGAAGCAACTAAATGCTTGACTGCTACCCATAGGGTTAAGGGTGGTAGTGTGATAGTTGCAGGGCGAAAACTTGTAGCATCCTTGATTGTTTTGTGTATGCAAGACTTCGACGTGATCCTAGGGATGGATTGGTTGGGCGAGAATCGAGCCCTCATCGATTGCGAAGCAAGAAAGGTAACCTTTAGGCCCCTGATAGGAGAGAACTTTGAATTCAAAGGGGATATATCCAGAAGCACCCCTAGGGTCATCACAGCGTTGAAGGCTAGAAAAATGTTGAATCAGGGAGCCTGGGCAATTCTGGCTAGTGTGACAAAAGTCAATAAGACCAGTCTAAAGGTATCCTCTGTTCCTGTGGTTGGGGAATTTGAGGATGTATTTCCAGAAGAGCTCCCAGGGTTGCCCCCTAATCGAGAGGTAGATTTTGTTATTGACCTCGAACCAGGGACAACACCGATATCCAAAGTGCCATATAGAATGGCACCTGCAGAGCTTAAGGAGCTAAAGATACAGTTACAAGAACTTTTGGACAAGGGATTCATACGGCCTAGCGTCTCACCTTGGGGAGCCCCGGTGCTATTTGTTAAGAAGAAAGATGGAACTATGCGATTATGTATAGATTATAGAGAATTAAACAAAGTCACAATCAAGAATAAATATCCTCTCCCAAGGATAGATGACCTGTTTGACCAATTGCAGGGTGCAACGGTGTTCTCTAAGATCGATCTGCGATCAGGGTATCACCAGATGAGAATCCGAGAGGAAGACATACCTAAAACAGCTTTTAGAAGTCGCTATGGACATTATGAGTTCATAGTCATGTCTTTTGGATTAACCAACGCTCCTGCAGTGTTTATGGAGTTGATGAACCGAGTGTTTAAGGAATTCTTAGACACCTTCGTGATTGTGTTCATTGACGACATCTTGGTGTATTCTAAGTCTGAAATGGAGCACGAGGGACACCTGAGGAGGGTATTAACTCTACTGAGAAACCATAAGTTGTACGCCAAATTTTCGAAGTGCGAATTTTGGCTGCAGGAAGTGGCTTTTCTTGGACACGTGGTATCCAGTCAGGGGGTAACTGTGGATCCAGCTAAGATTGAAGCAGTCTTGAAATGGCCTAGACCAACCACGGTCACTGAAGTAAGGAGTTTTCTGGGTCTAGCAGGCTACTATAGAAGGTTTATAAAAGATTTCTCAAAAATGTCTGCAGCGTTGACACAATTAACCAAGAAGGGAAAACCTTTTATCTGGACTCAAGAGTGTGAACAGAGTTTTCTAGAACTAAAGAAGAGGTTGGTCACTGCGCCTGTACTTACAGTGCCTGACGGATCAGGCGGACTTGTGGTGTACAGCGACGCTTCAGGAAAAGGGCTAGGTTGTGTACTCATGCAAAAGGGCAAAGTGATAGCCTACGCCTCTAGGCAGCTGAAAGAGTATGAGCGCAACTACCCCACCCACGATCTGGAACTAGCAGCCGTGGTTTATGCATTGAAAACCTGGCGTCACTACCTGTATGGAGAGAGAGTTCAAGTGTACACGGACCATAAGAGCCTCAAGTATTTGTTTACACAAAAAGAGCTCAACATGAGACAGCGGAGGTGGTTAGAACTAGTTAAGGACTATGACATTGAAATACTTTACCACCCTGGAAAAGCTAATGTAGTGGCGGACGCCTTGAGCAGAAAGACAGCCCACACATCTGCTCTGATCACGAGGCAGAAGTACCTACAGGATGAGATACAGAGGGCTGGAATAGAAGTCTTGGATAGGGGCATTACCGCTCAATTAGCGCAACTGTCGGTCCAACCCACCCTCAAGAGACGTATCATTGAAGCTCAGCGAACTGATACGCACCTCAGTAGGATCTGGGGTCAGCAAGAAACTGAGAGACCGAACGGATATTCAGTCTCTTCTGAAGGGGGTTTGATGTGGCAGGACCGATTATGCGTACCTCGGGATGAGAAGATCCTACAAGAAATCATGACTGAGGCACACAACACGTCCTACACGTTCCACCCTGGTAGTACTAAGATGTATCAAGATTTGAAGTGTAGTTATTGGTGGCCAGGAATGAAGAAGGATGTGGCTGAGTATGTGAGTCGGTGTTTGACCTGTCAGCAGGTAAAGGCCCCGAGACAGCGACCAGCAGGGTTGTTGCAACCGTTGAATATCCCGCAGTGGAAATGGGAGGAAATAAGCATGGATTTCATCGCGGGCCTACCAAAGACTCGACGAGGCTTTAATGTCATCTGGGTCATTGTGGACAGATTGACTAAAGTGGCCCACTTTATACCCGGTAGAGCTACTTACCGAGTGGACCAGTGGGCCCGGTTGTATGTTAAGGAGATAATCCGCTTGCATGGCGTGCCGGTGAACATTGTGTCTGACAGGGATGCTAAGTTTACTTCTAACTTCTGGAAGGGGTTACAGAAGGCGTTGGGAACGCAACTCAAGTTCACTACAGCTTTCCACCCTCAGACCGATGGGCAAACCGAGAGACTTAATCAGACCCTAGAGGATATGTTGAGAGCGTGTGTAATAGACTTTGCAGGTTGCTGGGACGAGCACCTGGCCCTCATGGAATTTGCCTACAACAATAGTTACCAGGCAACCATCCAGATGGCACCATTCGAAGCTCTATATGGGCGGAGGTGCAGGACCCCTATATTCTGGGAGGAGGTAGGCAGGAAACAGTTGTTGGGGCCGGAGTTGGTACAGACTACCAATGCAGCGGTACAGAAAATCAAACAGAGGATACTCTCTGCACAAAGTCGGCAGAAGAGTTATGCAGACTCTCGTAGGAAAGACCTCGAGTTTGCAGTGGGTGATCACGTCTTCCTGAAGGTAGCCCCCATGAGGGGAGTGCTAAG